TAATTCTTTGAACTTTGAAGACTCCCACCTAGGCGACTTTACCGATCCTACCTCAAAGTCTGTGTGGATTCAATCATCACATTTTGTCTGATTGATACTTATAGTCGAAAGAGTAAATTCTCTGAATTAAAAAAAAAAATCTCCTTCAGATGCTAAGGAATTAATCCCCAGCGTCTGAGGTATCAATTCACTTCACAACATTTCGCCTTCATCCATTAGCCGTCTCTCCTTTTGTATGACCTTCATCCTAATTTGTCTTGTCACAATGTTAAGTGCGTGGAATCTACGCACTTTGCAGGTCGTTTCACGGCAACCAACATCATGTGGATGTATGTCTGTACGTTCAGGGCACCTAATTGAATTCCTTATCCAATATTCCGTTTTTTTGCAATATTTCATTCTTTGGGGATGAAAAGGACGAGCGTGCGTACATTCACAAGCCAACTTTATTACATTTTCACTCGACTTAATAATGATATTTATTTTATTTTTATGCAATCTCTGGGAAAGACATATTTCCCTTTGGCAATGTTTTGTTGTTGTCACAATGATTAAATATTATTTATGGATTTTATTATGTTTGTTTTTTTTTTTCATAAGGAAAATAATCTTGGGAGGATTCGATTTTTGCTGTTGAACTAAAAATAGTGTGACCTTTTATAAGCTATGCTAATATTGTTGTAATATTCAATATTGTGTTTTGTAATTTTTACAATAAAGAAATTGGATGTAGGATTTAAGATCGATGGGCTTTTGGGGAATTGTTGTAAGGAATGCAGGATAGACTGGGTATTGGGTGCTGTTAGGAAATCCAAATAATTATCAAATTTTCTATTTCCATGACAAGAAGAAAGACTTAATTTTGAAATTTGCTACTCATTTTTAGACAAAATTGAATAAAAAATCAAAGAGTTTTTGATGATGCAATATTTAAAGACTAAACAAAAATTCTTCAGAATCTGCAAAAATATTTCTTTGGAAATGTGGAATCAGTCCTGAGAGGCTAATAAATTAGCCAACAGAACCTAGGGAATCGGCCCTCAGAGATTGAAAAATCAGTTCGAAATCCAAACGAGTTTTACTGCCAACTTCAATTCGAGTGGGAGTACTCCTGTGAATGAAAAAAAGATGTTTCCTCAAATTTTCAAAATAAAATAAGATAAAATTTAAATAAGTGTGAGTATGCTTTGGTTGTTTTCAAGTGAGAGTAAATGCCTCTCGATATCGAACAGATTCTACCATTGCCAAGTACTCTTTTAGTTTTGGTCACACAATCTGTTCTGAGAAACTCCTAAATAAGTCCACAGATAGATCCCCAATACGGCTTCGAAATACTCGGTCGAATTTGACTCTAATTTTCAATGCCACTCGAATAAGAGGTAGTAGGTTTTGCACGTTTTCAAGAGAGAATAAAATTCGCTCGAAATCGATTCTACTCTTATCGAATACTCTTCTAGTTTTTGTCATACCGTTTTTTGCTAGAAAATATGTGTATACAGCTGCAAATGAAACAAAAAAAAATACGTTGAAGAGCTTTGGCCCCGCAATGCATTCTGCTATTTTTATACCCTACACCACAAGGTGGTCAGGGTATTATGTCTTTCTGCATTTGTTTGTAACATGGAGAAGGAAGCCAGATAGACCCATAGTTCCTTTGCATAGAATCACATTCTGAGTTGATTTATGCATGTCAGTTCGTCTGTCCGCCCGTCCGTCTGTTCATGTATTCTTGTGAACAAAATGCAGGTCGCATTTATTATCCGATTGAGATGAAATTTTCCAAACAAAATTTGTTTGGCCCAAGGACGAACCCTATTGAAATTGGAGATAATCGGTAAAAAATTTAGATATAACTCCCATATATATCTTCGCCCGATTTGTTTTTTATTGTGCACCAAACGTCTAATATTTGCCCAAATGGGATGGAATTTGGTACATACGACCGAATTGAGTCTAGAAGTAGTATGCCAAATGTGGTGAAGATCGGTTCAGATATAGCTATAGCTCCCATATATATTGTTCATCCGATTTGTTATTTTTGTCCTTCGCAGCCGTAATATGCACTCTGTAACAACAATACTTAGGGAAATACATCAAATACAGCTCAGAAATACCTTTGCTAAATCGGTTCAGATTTGGATATAGCTCCCATATATATCTTCGTCCGATTTGCCTTTTATTGTGCATCAAACGTCTAATATTTGCCCAAATGGGATGGAATTTGGCACATACGACCGAATTGAGTCTAGAAGGTAGTATGCCAAATTTGGTGAAGATCGGTTCAGATATAGCTATAGCTCCATTTTTATTGTTCATCCGCGAACACGCTCACATAATTCCATTCTTCACTCGAGCAAATCTCAGTGGAAAAGCAGTTCATATATACTGTAGAATCTGCTCGAGAGATTGAGGAATCGGTCTTTTGAGTTATCTAAAGAAGCAAACCCCATGAGACTGCGGAATCTGTTCCAAGCGACTGGGGAACAGTTCTTCAAAGTTTAGGAAGTCATTCTTCAAAGACTGCAGAATCAGATCGCCAGCGACGGAGATATTAGTCTTTGGAAAACAACCCCCAAGAAATTGAGAGAATAAAGAATAAGTCTCTCCATAGACTGGGGGACCCCAGAGACAAAGAATCAGTACATTAAGGCTGGGGAATCAGTCGTCAGCGAATGGGAATACAGTCCTCGGAAAAATACAAACCCCAGAGACATAGAATTACCCCCTACAGCCTGTGAATTTAATCCTCCTCTTTGTTGCTTTGTTGGAGATTTTTGCAGAAACTCACACAATGTTCGGCTTCAAACCTAAAATGAGTTTCCAATATTTATGAATTTCTCGAGCTTGCTTAAGATTTAGATTTTTGATGTATTCTGGGACCTATAGTAGAAATGTATGGCAAATAAATGTTCAGAATATTTTGAGAGGCTTCGACCACGTTTAAACGCAGTTTCTAACAATATTTTGAAAAAAAAGGACTCACTTGAGAGTAAAACATTTCCAAACCAAATAACTAAATCCGTTCCGTTCAGGACATATAGAGACGATCTAGCGATGTCCATCTGTTTGTCTCTCGATAAGTCTCGAAGGGAGTATCCGATTTGGTCCAAACTTGGTACGACGTAATATTATTATTAAAGTTAGATCAAGTTCGAAGATGGGGAACATCGGTCCACTCTTTTTGGCACTTCTCCCACAAAAGATCAAATTTTTCAAAAAAAAAATATATACAGGGTTGCCCATATTCGACGGACCCATAACTTTTGACAGATATGTCACATCGCTTAATGACATACCGCGTTTGAAGCGTCAGTCCAAGCAGATTTTTACCATGAACCAATACACGCCACGCGAGCGATCTGAAATTTACATTCAACAGAAGAAGCCAATTGTGAAAACTCAACGTGCTTTTAAAAGATTAAAAATGTGAGAAGTGCGCCTTCTAAGAACACCATTAAGCGTTTATACGAAAAATTTTTGACTGGTAAGGCTCTTTCTAATCCGAAGAGGCCATATAAAAGTCGACCAAGGCGATCGGCCGAGAATATCGCTGCCGTACGATCCAGTGTTGAGAGGTCCCAAAAACGCCGTTCTCAGCAGTTGGGCATGGCTCGGCCCATTTTTCAACGGATTGATTTGCATTTGTTCCCGTACAAAATTCAATTGACGCCTGCGGACAAGCCTCGTCGATTGGAATGGGCCAAAAAAAAAAAAAAAAAAAAAAAAAAAAAAAAAAAAAAAAACATGGGTCCGTCGAATATGGGCAACCCTGTATTTTACTGTTCGAGTTATGGTGCCTCACTCACATTTTAAAATTTCCCAAAAACTATCACATACTTCATATAAAGTGAAGGAAGCAGTCGATATAGTCCAAACCTGGCATGTCGCAATATTTATATCATATTTATTTAGATCCAATAGGAAATGGATAATATTGGTCCATTACTTCGGAACCTACTCCATAGAGGTTCAACAATTTTAATAATCATTATAAAAGTCAAAATATATTTAAATAATCGAACATTTGCGGTTATTCCAGCCTGTTCAAATCTATTTTACCCCCATTCGACAATTTTTGGAAATATATTTACTGTTCTAATTTTGAGGGTACTTTATCCACGGAAAATGGGGAAAGAGGATTCACATGAATTAATTTTCAGGTTTCTAATATCCCATAGATTCCGATGCATCAATTCTTAAAATCCTCGAAATAATTTCTTTCAGAGTACGGGGATAGGTCTTAGATTTTAAGGAATAAAGCCTCAGAGGCTTGTGAAGTAATTATAAGAGTTTGAGGTCATGAACCAAATCAAGCTTAAGAGTCTAAGAAATCTTAGTCTCCCTTCTAAACTGCAATATATCTTCTCTTAAAACAATAGAATTTTTTAGAAAATACCAATGGGAGAATAGTCGGTCCCATTGACCCCCTGGATTTCTGAGGGTAATCTCATTGTGTTCTATTGAAAGACATCTGGGTATTATTCCCTTGCTGTCGTTTTTCATTTCATTTTCATGGCAGCCTCTGCCATGTGTCATATCCTTTTCTAATGAATATATTACCAGCCAGCTAGTCTGCCCACACACTTAGCGAAAAAGGAAATCAACAACAAGATTATTATTATCCGACGACGTGACCTTGTTGTTAATGTGCAATAACAATTGGAGAAAAAAGGATGAGGTTGGAGAAAAATACCCATGTCCATGGCATAGAGAAATGCGAAACGTAAAAGATTACAACAAGAAAACAATTAATGTGGCAAAATAGAAAAAAAAAAAACAAAGTAACAGCAACCACAAATTACTTTGAAAAGAATAATAGAAAATAATTCCCAACGGATGAGAAATTCCCCAAAAATCTCCCAGGGGTGAGAATGGAGGAGAGTAAAGTGCCATAATCCTCTTTGAATTGGCATTAAATGTCCTTCAAGTTAACATATGGAGGAATGGGAACTACTTCCAAAAAGGACTTAAATTAAAGTGCTGCTTGAAGTAAAACTTACCGTCTTAGCATTGGATGGGCACAGGAGAGTGTTGGGCGCCCATATGTTTTGCTGGATTACAATTTTGCTTCTAGAAGCTGAAATGACACGTGGAAAAGAGAAAGAGGAAATTAGTTTTTCATGGGAAAATAAAGAAATTACAAAAAATAAATAAAATAAAATCTTGAAATTTTCCACAAAACTCACGGAATTTAAGGGTACGAAAAGTACCAAAACTTACAGCATTGTTAAATAGTTATTGTAAAAAGCTAGAATTTTGAAATTTAGCTTGAGAGTCATCATTGGCCTAAAATTGTAAGATACGATAGGAGTTTGGAAAACTAATACTTTTAGAGTACGAAAAAGTACCAAAAGATACAAAATAGTAGAACCGTTTTATGGAGCTACAATTTCGACCATTTCAATAAGTAACCAGTAAAGAAAGTCCTAAAGTTGGGCGGGGCCGATTTTATGATACCCTACACCACTTTGCTAATATAGTAGAGCTCCACATAACAATTGAAAGTTTTTATGGGAGAATTCAATCATACACGCTATGATTATAATCAGAATTTAAAGTTCAAAGGACTAAATATGCTGAAGCATTTGTATCTTTTAAATTCGGACTTGTACTGTCCATTTGGTGCAAAATTAATATGAAATCATATAAAGATTTATATGGGAGCTATATCCAAATCTGAACCGATCTCGATAAAATTTTGCAAAAGTATTTCTGAGCTGCATTTGATATATTTCCCTGAATATCGTGCGTTACGGAGTGCATATTACGGCTGTGGGTAACAAATATAACAAATCGGATAGCTATATCTATATCGATATATATATATCTGAATCGATCTTCACCTAATTTGACATACTAGCTTCTAGACTCAATTCGGCCGTATGTGCCAAATTTCATCACATTTGGATAAACATTAAACGTTTGGTGCACAATAAAAGGTAAATCGGACGAAGTTATATATGGGAGCTATATCCAAATCTGATCGGATCTCGATAAAATTTTGCTTTCTGAGCTGCATTTGATATATTTCCCCAAATATTGTTGTTGCGGAGTGCATATTACGGCTGTGGAGGACAAAAATAACAAACCGGATGAACAATATGTATGGGAGCTATAGCTATATCTGAATCGATTTCGATCAAATTTGGCATACATATTTTCAGGCCTAATTTGGTTGTATGTGCAAAATTCCATACTATTCGGGCTGATTTTACACGCTTGGTGCACAAAACAAAGGCAAATCGGACGAAGATACATATAGGAGCTATACCTAAATTTTGACCGATTAGCTGCAATTTTAATATGGTTCGTCCTTGGGTCAAGCAAATGACTTGTGTAAAATTTCATCTGGATCGGGCAATAAACACGGCCTGTGCTTTGATTACAAAAATACATGGACAGACAGACGGACGAACGGACGGATGGGCATACATAAATCGACTCAGAATGTGATTCTATGCAGATCATCAAAAGGAACTATGGGTTTATCTCGTTTCCTTTTGCCAGTGACAAACAAATGCACAAAGACATAATACCCTGACCCCCTTGTGGTGTAGGGTATAAAAACGTTAAAAAGTATCAGTCGGTTTTGCCGCCGGATACATACCCACAGCCAATGTTCGATTATTGAAATATACTTTGACTTCTGTTACGATTATTCAAATTGTTGATCCTCTATGGAGTAGGTTCCGAAGGAATGGACCAATATTGTCCATCTCGTATCGGACCTAAATAAATATGATATAAATATTGAGACATGCTAGGTTTGAACTATATCGATTGCTTTCTTCACTTTATTTAAGATATGTGATAATGTTTAGAAAATGTTCAAATGTGTGTGAGGTACCAGATATAGTCGACCGAAGTATTCCTTTGTGGGGAAGAAATTATCCGATCTCTACCACATTTATAACCGATTTTGTACTGATGGAAATATTAGATGTACTAAGTCTGAAACGAACCGGAGGTTAGTGTAGCGTTTTATGAGCTCCATGAATATTTAAAAATTTGACCCTTTGTAGGGGAGATACCAGAAGGAGTGGACCATTTTTACAGCAGATCTTGTATTAGAACAAATAATGGGATGTGTGAAATATGAAGAGAACCGGATGCGTATTTCGGATTTTATAATCGTTTAGGTTATTTAAAACGTTGACCCTTTCTGAGGGAGGTACCAGAAGGAATGGTCCGATCCCTACCATCTTTACAACAGTTATTGTGTTGATGGAAATATTGAGATGTACCAAACCTGAATGTAATCGAAACTTAATTTCGCTTATTATGAGCTTCATGGATATTCAAAATTTTGACCCTTTGTGAGGGAGGTACCAGAAGGAGTGGACCGATATATTCCATATTCACAGCAGATCTTGTGTTAGTAGAAATAAAGGGATATGTTAAATATGAAGAGAACCGGGACGTTTATTTCGGATTTTATGATCGTTTTGGTTATTCAATACTTTGGCCCTTTGTGCGGGAGGCACCAGAAAATTTGACCCGATCTCTACGATCTTGTGTTGATAGAAATATTGAGACGTACCAAGTCTGAATTGAATTTTTTTATGAGCTTCGTGGATATTCAAAATGTTGACCCTTTGTGAGGAAGATACCAGGAGGAGTGGACCGATATATCCCATTCTCACCGCAGATCTTGTGTTAGTAGAAATAATTTGATGTGTGTAATTTGAAGAGAGCCGGATGTTTATTTCAATTTTATAATTTTTTAGGCAATTCAAAACTTTGACCCTTTCTGAGGGAGGTACCAGAAGGAATAGTCCGATCCCTACCATCTTTTGATCAGACCTTGTGTTGATGGGATTAATGAGATGTACCATGTCTGTATGGAATCGGATGTTAACTTCGCATTATATGAGCTTCATGGATATTCAAAATGTTGAACTTTTTGTCGAGGAGATACCAGAAGGAATGGTCCGATATATTCCTTCTTTACAGCAGATCTTGTGTTAGCAGAAATAATGGGATGTGTAAAATATGAAGAGAATCGAATGCTTATTTCGGGTATTATGATCGTGTTGGTTATTCAAATGTTGATCCCATTGTGGGGGTGGCACCAGAAGGAATGGTCCGATCTCTATCATATTTATAACAGACATTTTGTTGATGGAAATATTATTAAGTGCCAAGTCCTAATGGTATCGAATATTAATTTCTCGATTTATGAGTTCCATAGATATTTCAAATTTTGACCCTTTTGTGGGGGTGGTACCAGAAGTAGTGGACCAATACTTTCCATCTTCACACCACACCTTGGGTTAATAAAAATATTGTGATGTTTGCAATTTGAAGACAATAGGAGATTTACATTATATTTAATAAAAGTTATAATTATTCAAAATGTTGACCCTTTGCGGGGGAGGCTCTTGATGGAGTGGACCGATATTGTCCATTTTTGCACCTGACCTGACACTTATGCAAATATTAGGATATGCAAAGTTGGAGCAAAATCGGATTATCTTTCCTCTTTCTGTGCAATATTTTTTTTTTTTTTTTTTTAATTTCGACATTTTGTGGGGGAGGTACCAAAAAAAGTGGACCGATATTGCCCATCTCCAAACTCGATCTAAGTTTGAAAATAATATTACGATGTACCAGGTTTGGATCAAATCGGATACTCCTTTTAAGAGTTATCGTGCGCCCCAGCCAGCCAGAAAGACATACGGACGGACATCGCTACATCGACTCCAAATGTTCTGAGACAGATTTGGCCCAAAGAGTCCTTCGTACTGAATATCGTTCTTTTGGGGTCCTAAAAGTACCTTTTAAAGCAAAACTGTCGAAATCGGACATGTACAGGGTTGCCCATATTCGACGGACCCATCTGGCAACGCCATAACTTTTGACAGAGATGTCACATCGCTTAATGACATACCGCGTTTGAAGCGTCAGTCCAAGCAGATTTTTACCATGAACACGCCACGCGAGCGCTCTGAAATAGTTGAAATTTACAAGAAGTCAATTGCGAAAACTCAACGTGCTTTTAAAACATTAAAAAATGTGAGAAGTGCGCCTTCTAAGAACACCATTAAGCGTTTATACGAAAAATTTTCGACTGGTAAGGCTCTTTCTAATCCGAAGAGGCCATATAAAAGTCGACCAAGGCGATCGGCCGAGAATATCGCTGCCGTGCGAACCAGTGTTGAGAGGTCCCCAATAATATCCCAAAAACGCTGTTACCATCAATCAGGAGCGTTATCGCGACATGAAAGCGTATGAGGCAGTTCTGGTTTCAACAAGACGGCGCTCCACCGCACACAAGTCGCATAACAATCGATTTTTTTTAAACATGTGTCCGTCGAATATGGGCAACCCTATAGCATTTTTTGGCCTAACATAGTAAAAATGTTCTGCAAAACTCGATCTCTATTATCGTACTTCTTGGGATTGGAAATTGTTACAAAACTACTAAATAAGAAGAAGGATTATTGCTAGAATTAGCCCAGAATTCACCTAAATTTCAACCGTTCCCTCCTCACATCCCAAAAAAAGTTTATTACCTCTTACTTTCAAAATACCCAACCAAAAACAACCGAAAAATCAATTTATTTTTATAGCAAATCAATCAGAATCTATTTTTGATTTTAGCTGATGTCACGAGCCAGAAGAGGAATAGTCAAAGAACACGCTGAGAAGCCGTAACGAAAAATTGCGCACATTGACAATTTTCCAACCTTTCCATATTTGGCAAATAAATGAAAATAGAAAAACGTATCAATTCACTCGGGGAATTTATGGCCCATTAACACCAGAGGAAACTTTGCCTGCCTGCCGTGCCGTGGCATTGTTAACAACATTTGCCGCAAACACCACGACGCTGACGCTCCCGTGTGTAATGTGAGGAGTATTTTGTTAAGTATTTTGTTGTCATCTTCATCATCAACATGTTTCTGTCATTTTTCGTCATTTCAATTTTCGGTAGATTTTTCGTGACGTATTTTCTCCTCATCATCGATGGGGAGGGGACAATGTTCTTTCAACACGATGATTAATAATGTGAACACAACCAGACAAATTGTGGTTAGGTTATTAAAATTGGTTGACATTTTTTCCTGAGATCAG